TTAGAAAAAAATCCCAGTAAATAACCAGACAGGACAACCTGTGCTCACCGGGATTCCATAACTACATTGCCTCCAGACTTACAGCAACAAAGATCAGACAATAGAAATAAAGTCGCATTAGGGTAAAAATGAATTTGGCACACAAACCTTACCACAAGCTTCATGCAGTAGTATTCAGATATAGATTTTACATAGATACTACCCATCCAATCAATTCTTTCACAATTTTAAAGAAGATGTTTCCTCTTTGTTCACCATCTGCAGACATGAAGTTGAGACTTTTGGGCTGAAATGTCCTTGTTGGTTTGAGAGGCGCCAAGATTCTTGGTCCCATTACAGGATGTACGGTCTTATTTTAGGATGTAGAGCCTAAAAGCAATGACTTTGATAAATTGTATCCCCCACATCTTGTGTTGAACTCAAGATATTCTAAGAATCAGTCTGTGCAGTATTAAAAAATAAAAGCCCTATGAAGACATCCCTTGTCTGGAAAACTCTTATTGACTACATTGCCAGATGATTCAAGATTCCGAACTAATTGTCTCTGATTCTTTTTTCGACATTTATAAAAAAAAACAATTATTGGACATTTTTTGGTGGTGAAAAGCTTCACGCGGTGACGTCATAGTGTCGTCACTTTCCAAGATGGCGGCATTTGCGTGGCAGCGTTATCGTTAGCGAACGCAGCGTTGGAGAGAAAAGGTATTTGTCCTGTTGTGTTTTCATGGTGTGTGTGTGTGTGTGTGTAGGTGCACTTCTCAGAGTGTGAGGCTGTAAACAGACCGAGTGTGTGATCGCAGCAGCTTTGTCCCTCCTCCCTGTAACGTGTGTTAGCTTGTTAGCTTGTCAGTGTGGATGTGTGATGCTCGTCCCAGCTGTTTAAGTCAGCTCTGTCACATGAGCCAGGCTTGATGGATTTACCTCAGTGGAACTTGACTCCGCATTTAGCCTGATGACAAGAGTTTACACGCATATTTACAACACGTGCACATCAGGATCTAAGGCTGTGTTGACTGGTGGATTCAGTCGTGGGCTCTGTAGTAAACACAGGTCTTTAGTGAAATAGAGCAGTCTAATAGATCCTCTGTTTCTGGATCAGTCGGGGCGGGATGGACCCCACATGTCCAGCTACTGTGTGAGTTCAGAGTCAAGACGACCACAGCTGTGTGTGGGACTGAGCTGAGGTCTGGCTCTGTGGTGTTGAACAGCATCAGATCATCAGGTCTCCTCATCCAGGCTCAGGCACACATCCAATTTTCACAATAGCATTAGTTCACCACTGCTTCATGTCACTCCTCTTTACTCAGAATGTAGTTCAGAAGTTCACTTGTTTCACAAGTATAATTTCATGTTCTTGGCAGAGGGGAAGGAAATCCTTGCCTCCATATTTTCTGACACAGAAAGGAATCATCAACATCTTCCTCAAAGATCCTTCAACTTTATCTATATAGTGCCAAATTATCACGTGTATAGAGAAAGTAGGGATGTCATGAGAACTGATACTTCGGTACCAAGCTGATACTGACATAAAAAAACTGGCACGATACTCTTTTTTCTTTTTACAGCACTCTAGGCACAGAAAAATACGTCCCTCCACTGCCAAACGGGTGACTGGATGGCAACTGTAAAGTACTGTACTGTAAAGCTGTAAAGTACTGTACATGTGCCTTAGAGAAACCCATCCGTTTCCACAATGAGCAACTGTCTGCATTTTCTTTGGAAAAAATGACAAAATATACCCTTTGATATTGAACCTGACTATTAATTTAAACCTGTAAGCAGTGGAACTTTTTTTTTTTTGGAGTCTTTCTATTTTGGAATGATCCTCACCATACAATTCCACTGCACCACAAACTGTAGCCTCCCAGACAAACACACAGTTGAACCAAAACCTTTTTTCAAACCGTTTCACCCTTAAACTGAACATTTTGACTTTGAGCAAGGTAAGATTTGTTGCAGGGCTGTTGTGTCATGACTGCCTTCATTGTATTTAGGTGATTTCCATGATTCAGTGTTGTCAGTTCCAACTGTGGTGTATTGCGGCTTTAGTGTCAGCCTCTGCTCTGAGCTGTCTCCCTCTGGTTGATTTCAGAGCTCAAACCTGCTGAGAGGAGGAGAAGCATTTGGAGGACGTTAACTTTGACCAACAAGGATGAGTTCTCCAAAGGAGGTGAGGTCCCATAAAAATGAACCTATTCTTACTGGGAATTAACATGTGTTTTTGGCAATCTTATCACAAGTGGACAGCTCTATGTACATCATTTCACTCCTAGTACTTGATTTAGAGGTTGTGTTGTACTTCTCTATCAAAATGTTGACAGGGTCTTTAGCATTCCATTGTAATCTATGTGTATCTGTTATTTTTTTTACTTAAAGTTTTTATTGATAATGACACATAACCTATTTATTACCCTTTTATATTAAACTTGATTGCATTAACATGTGCAGAAGAGAATTATAGAGTTATGCATTTAAACGAGCGTTGAGAAAAAAGATGAGACATTGATCACGTGGTCATTAATGCTAACACCACACCAAGCAGATGATGAATAATGTTTTTCCACAGTGAGTGCGGAGGACACTTCAGCACAGCAGTCATTTTTCTTAAACAGACAAATGTGATTATTGAAATTTGACACAGTCTATATGTGTTTTACAACTTAGGACATTATACATGTTTATTGAATTAATCAAATTTTATTTGTATATTTACAAATCACAATTTTGCTTATAGTGCTTAACAAGATGTGATATCTTTTAGTAGGTAGAAACCACAGAAATGTGAGGGATCCCTCTGCCAGGACAGACTGAAGTGCAATATATGTCGCATGTAGCAGAGCACAACAAAATAACAATATTTACAACACTGATGAGAAAAGACAGTGTCTAACATAAATTAAGAGATGTATCGATGTTTAAAGTAGAGGAAGGTGTTTACAGAGAGGAAGGTGGCAGCAATGACAATTGTAATGTTATTGGTATTGAGAGTAATATAGTGTATGTGAGAGGACATATTGTATATCTAATTAATCGAGTTGTAATCATAATCCAGGATCCGCTTTCAACATGATCCATTATCCACAAGCTGCGATCCTGGATCTGTAACATCATAAAGCACAAAGACTCAGAAGAATTCTAGTCAGTAACATTTATGAAGAGACATTAATGTGATAAAGAGGAGGAAAGAGAAGCTCCTTGTATCGTAAGTCCCCTGACAATCTAAGCCTATAGCAGCATAACTAAGAGCTGGTCCAAGGCAGAGCCAGCCCTAACTTTATGCTTTTGTCCTAATGCACTTTGTGGTGACTTTAAAAGTGATTATATGAATATGTGGTGTTCCCCTGCGGTGCTGTCACTATGGAAAACACAGCTTTCAATGTACATGGTTTTCACTTACATCTTGTCCGTCGTAAAATATGTCCATACCCAGAATGAAAACCGTTGACCCCATTCAGCCCTGGTATTAACTTCCAACCTGAGTGGGTCAGCGCAAGTACATTTGTGATTGCACCCATATGAGTCCTCAATGCCTCTTGAGAGCCGATCATGCATGTTGCCATTTGTTTTCCAGTGTAAAAGCAAATGAGTCCTGGGCCACATGTAAAGGCCCTGAGCTCTTCAGTGCTCAAACGTTGTGGGTGCAATATAAACACTGACCGATGCCTTGTCAAAAAGACACACATACATAAAGACAAACATCATCATCTAACACATCTGTTAACCCAAACTGGGTGAAAATAACACTATTTGGTCTTCACGGTCACAAATGGCGTAAATAATTATTAGCATATTGTGCAGGAAAGTGAGATCCAATTGGTCACAGGAGACACGTTCAGGACAGATGGTAATTCCAGGTCTTAACAGGACCTGTTGTTTTTACCATTCAATATACATTTAAACTAGAAAAGTGATGTAAATACATATCATTTACCACTTATTTTTCTTAATCACGTCGAAATTGTCTTTGTTGTATTTTGTTATATAAGGTGTTGGCAAAAGTTATTGCTTCTCTGTTGATTGCATTTAAGTGCCAGCAACATTTCTGATAACTTTCTGTCTGGCTTCAGACTTCTACATTGTACAGAGAAGCTTTAGTTAAGGAAACAAAGGACAAACTCAGTGCTGCAGGTATGGGTGAGAATGCTTTTCAGACTTGAAAGTGACCTTTGATCACTCCATCCTGTCACAGCATCTTGAAACCTGGGCTTGTCCAAAATAGTATGCTCTTAGTTTATTATGCTGTGTAGCTTTTTTATTGTTGGAAACTCCCAAAGTTAAATTTCCCATTTCACTCAGAGTCAGAATCAGACTGACTGACTGATCGGTCATTGTGACATAACATTCTGATAATATCCAACAAAAATGTTATTTAAAGAGTTTAATTGAAAATTATCTGCAAAGGAAGCCTTT